ATCAATAAGTTGGCTGACCGTCATACCTCGACAACCGCGTCGCGTCGGGGTCGGCTTTCTTGTGGTCCGTCGTTTCCTCGTTTCTCACCAGTAGCCACGGCAAAGAAGCAATCCGACGACGGCCGTCTCCTCCATCGCAAACCGCCCTCACCGTCTCAACACAGGTGCGGCGGCGGCGGCGGCGGCTCGTCGATTGTTGAATGCGTTTCTCGGTCAATAGGGCCCGTCCAATCTCGACACGTACCAGGCCGAACCTCCTGTCTCGGTTGACGGACACCTTACCGCCAGTGCTGTGCGCAACTCGCGCGCCATCCAGAGGCCTCGGCAGGCAGAGCAAGCGTCTGTCTCTGATTGCGTTTGTCCCATGCCTGCGATGCGAGTCCAACAACACTCCGATCTAGGACGAAACAAAGACGACGTGGGTTTCGGCAATGAGCAATATCTCCTGCTGCTGCGTGCAGTGCTGCAGTGCAGTGCATTGGCAGTGGCAGTGGCAGTGGCAGTGGCCTGCCTCTTGCAGTTTGCTGCTGCACGTCTGCATGTCTTGTCCTCGTATCCCAAATCCATGTAACCCAAAGACGACGCTTTTTACGAAGGGTCTCGTCGTCGTCTTGCCATATCATGCGGCTTGGCGATGCAGCCACAACTCCATCCTCCCCTCTGCGCATCTGAGTGGCCCCAAAAGCTGCATGCACCTCCAGAAGGATCGCCCTTTAGCTTATGTCGCCAATGGAAATAAGGCTTTGTGACGCCACAGCTGCACGCTGATATCCATAACACTCTCGCGGGCTGGGGTTTGCGGAGGATGTTCTGGAAATTCGATGTTCGTGCGGTCAATTCTGGCCATCCCAAAGTAAGGTCGCCAGCCTTCCGAATCCTGTGCTCCGCCATTGTTTCCCATCGTCTGCTGGACTGAATGGCCATTCTTCGCCCAGATGCTGGTGCTGTCACTCGTGGCCTCAAGCCGTTCACGGATACAAACTTGCGCACAGTCTGCGCAAGCCCTTTTTTGCAAAGAAAACAAGCCGTTCTTCAAATTAGCACCCGGCCAATCCCCGGTAGTTGTGATCTCTGGAATGCATGAGGTGAGCACACTAGGCCGCCACAATGCTCAGCATTTCCAATCTATTGAGCACGTCCATGCCTCGCTTGATCCGCCGGTCAAGCTGGTAAGGTGAGATGTTGCTGACGACGACTCGAGGCGGGCAAACTCAAAGTCCAATTGCACACTGACTTTGTAGAGATTTGATGATGAGGACGGTGAAATTGTGAAGGTCGATTTCCGGATCCCGGAATCAGACGACGGTCGGGTCCAGGCTCGTCAATTGCTGCAAGATGATTCGATGGCCACTCGTTTTGTGCAGGCACGCGACGAAGAAGTGGCCAAGACCAGGGTTCCGCGGCGGAATGCCAAGAAAGCGGCCAGAAGTTTAGTCCACGACGTTATTTCCACCACGCCCTGACGACGCCTGCGGCCGGTTGGTTGCTTCAGTGATGGCCTGAGAATATTCCATAGTCAAGCGAAGGAATGGCTAAGAGTCGTAGCGCAATGAGCTGGAGCTGACAGAATGTCGGGCGGTAGCTCATAACTAGCTGCTTCAATGTCCAGTGCTGGTTGACTCTGACAATCCGAAACTTCGTTTCGGACCTTCACAAAATTGCACCGTTCAGAGAGGGCGACGAACCGTGCTCGAAATTGACAGAAGTTTATTATCCGAGGCAGAAGCTTGGCGCCGTCTGTGGAATGCGGTTTCGAGATCCGAGTGTCCGGGACGGCAAGTGAGAAGGGCCGTTTGCACGAGGCCGACAATCTGTGGATGGGTGTCGCGTGTCCCCGTTCCGCGAGATGAGGGAGTGACAAAGTCAGATCATGCTGCCGGATCCGACATGGGCTAATTGGGAATTTCCCAAGACCCAAGCTACTGGAGCTTGATGGGCAACGCCAAGCTCCAAGTTCTGGAGGATCATCCATGGACGACGGGTCTTAATTTGGTCAAGGATCATCAGTCAGAAGATGAGTGAGGCGCACAACGTGAGGCGCCCGTCCGTAGAAAAGGAGCCGGTGCATGAGGAAGGTCCGTCGACGAAGGCATGGATGGCACAGAATAAAGTGCCGACGATGAGGCGTCGCAAGCTTCTTGTGGTGAGCAAGTAATACATTTTACATGGGTGTCCGGGGCTGGAGCCAACGGTTCTTGGTAATTAGTTGCTGATGGCAGAATAACAGTCCTGAACCTTGACAGAGTATCCATACGGACACTTAAAGTAAAGTAAGGTAGAACGGATACTTAGCTAGTTACCTTAGTATACCATGGTAAACTAGGTAGCCAAGAGGTGTGATTCGCTCCGCGGCCACGTGTTGATGCGACTCTGAGCTGATTAGGGCGCTTGAAGATCATGGCACCAGCCGGGCTGCTTCATCTTGAGACATCAACGGTGTCCGTACGCGCGCTCACGGCAGGTTTGCTGTGATGTGCGGTGACATTAGCTTGCTTGGTGCTGCGCGGATCTTGTAGAGGAGAGGAGATGTTGCGACTGATTGAATCCTAAAGAGGAAGGGAGCTCGACGTTGGAGCTTGGTACGTCATGCGGAGAGAGGACATGTTGTGGTGCTGTCTGACGCGAGGCGCATATCGTACCTACCTAGGTAGTTGGAGTGGGCTCTGCAAGATGCCAAGGTCGCGCAATCCAGACGGCAAACCTCGGCGTACGTGCTTATGAATACGTAGGTTTATGACAATGGATTGAATTGACGATTGCGTGGTCCGCCTCGTGCGCATTTCGGGATGGCCAGACCGCCATTTGATGTTTGCTTGCATGCCATTTGACTGCAACGTTCGAGGTGGAAGTGGCTGGAGGGGAAGAAGGAAAGTGAAGCCCGGGAATCAGAGCAGACCTGCACCTGCCTGCACTGTGAGCCGGAGTTGACCCCGGTTGACGGGCCTGACGGTGCCTGAGCACAGGTCAGGTACGAAAACTCGGGCTACGAATAGCCGCACTTGTTGGTCCACGTCCTGTCCGGAAAGACTGACAAGCACCAAACCACACACACGCTCCACTGACAGCTGGGTCCGCGGCGCTGGGCTCAGGGTGGCCTGGGTGCCTGGGTGCAGCGGCCCACTGAACAGACAGGGCCATCTGTGCCGTATCCACCACTTGTACCTGCAGCCCCAGCAGCTAAGTGTGCCTACCTTAGGTGCCTAGGTATGTACTTGAGGACCACCTCAAGAGGGGGCAGTTCCCAGGCGTGATTGATCGGGTGCGGTCCGGACGTTGCGGCTCCCAGTCTCTGGGATACGGTGCCGGGTCCCCGAGCGCTCACGGTGCAGTCGGCTGCTGCCAGCTTGTTGCCCATCCAGTGCTGCTCCACGGCCAGCGTCCCGTCCCATTCGTTCCATGCCGCGCACTAGAACCACCCGAGCCGAAAGGCCCCCATTGTCGTTTGCTGCATTGGGGTCTTGAAATCCACACCAAACGACACACAATTTCGTAGAGTTTTCAGACGGACTGCGCGGAAGAAAGGGAGCATTAGCATTCGCTGCGTATTGTTCCGGCTCTATTGCTCTACCTATGGTGCCTTTCAATGCATGCGAATGAATGTCTGCAATGGCATCCATCTGTATGTGACTGAGTATTTGCCTACCTCAGGTACGGGCAGGTACGGATACTTACCTCACTTACCTTACCTCATGCCCACTAGCAAGAGGTAACTAGGTAACACTCCCGCCGCACAGTCGCATTCGCGCTCCAAGCCCCCCCCTTCCCCCCTTTCCCCTCTGATCATCAGGTCCAGGTCGCGGCTATATCCCGCTCTGCCGTTAGTCTCTCTGCTGCTCTTCGTCTCGTCCTCTTCCTGCTGCTGGTCCCCTAATTAACCCTTCAGCAATCATTCTCTCCTCCACACCCCTTTCTCTCATCTTACTCGACCAGTCCGGCCCAGACCAGCGCGGCCCAGGAACGACCATTCTTCACACTACCTATTCGTACCTTACCTCACCTACCGACGAAGCAGACTTGTTGCTCCTGCATCGCACAACTTTGACGAATCTCAAGAGGTAGGTAACGCAACGTCCCGTCCTACTGTCTCTCGCCCCCCTCCCCGTTCCCCAGCCCGCTGTACCAATCCCAGCCTAAAGGTTGCGCACCATCACAACCGGTCCTGGTCCTGCACATGCGCCGCCAAATGTCCACAAAGTCCACCTTGCCGTATTTCACTCGTCCAAGGGGGTCGTGCCCTTGGCTTGGAACGAGTTTGCCCTGGATCTGGATCCGCGACTGACCTCATTTGCTGTGCCTAGCATCGTCGTCGACCGCCGTGCCGTGCTTCCCCTTCCCTTCCCCCTTCCTAGCGTGCCGGCCCCCTTCCCCATCAAGCAGCTTCCAGTCCTGGCCTCTGCCCTCCGGACATCTGCGTCGTGGTGGAGCGCCTAGCGAGGAAAAGGGCCCCTTTTTGCAACCCCTGGTCCGCCGCACCACGAAGCTCCAGAGTCAACACTAGGACAACCGCGTACTGCGTACAGAAAAGAGTACAGAGTACAGAGTACGAAGTTGGGTCTACCAAGTAGAGTACAGTGTACGAGAATCCTCCCCTCTCCCCCCCCCCCCCCTGCCCTGCCCTGCCGTGAGATGATCCATCCTGCTCCCGTTCCTGTTCCTGTTCATGTCCTTGGCCCTTCCCGTTCGTTCGTCTCGCCAGCCAGTATCCGTCGCGTACCTGACCCTACCGCTCCCTTGTTCGCACTAAGTACGGTGCCTGTGGGTTTGCCATGCCTTCCTTGAGCCTCGACAATCCCGACTTTTAGTCAGTGCATCCACTGTCCCAAAAGTTTGGTTTGGACAAGGCTTGGATTTTTTTGGCCCTGCTCATACATTGCCTGCCTGTTCTCCTGCACTCCGTCGCTGTCGTTTTTCCATCTTTTGTCCCTTACACGTCGCATGTTCGTTTTCTCCGAATAGCCTCTGCCGCAGTGCTGCCTCCCCCCCTGCTCGTGGTCGTGGCCATGGCGTCAGATCGAATAGGAGCTCGAAAGGCTCACAGGAGTTCAGAAGGCTCTCACATCCGTCCGAATCACTTCCACCGCTCCGGAACCCCGTCCTCTCTCGCCTCCGCCTCCGAGACAGCAGCCGCAGCGAGGAGGGCCGAACGCGAGACCGCCCACCGCTCCGCGCCCGCGGCCTCGAAGCAGTACCAACCGCACTACGCCCTCCACCGAGACGAACCCTTCTTGCCTCCCAGATTCCCGACCGAACAGCCGGCCAACTACCGCGACTCGATTGTGTCGATTGTGGACGACCCGTTCTTCCAGCGCTTCGACGACTACGCAGGGGAGGGTGCGCATGGATTTGAGCCGCTTCGGACTCCCACACTCCACGACCCTAACCCCGAAGACGATAACGAACAAGGCGACGAGCACGAGGAGATAGGCGCGACGCAAAAATACGAAATCACGCAGGAATTCGATTTCGACTTCGACTTCGGATACTTTGAGCTCCGCGATGACGACAACCCCAACGAGCGCTGGCCGCCCCCAAGAAGAGAGTCGTTGATAATAGGACCTTCCTTGTCCTGGGTAAATGCCCCACCAAACACAGACTGCGGGGTAGCTGATGAGACGGGAAGTGGAAAAAAAGGGGCTGACGATCATAGCAACAACCAACCTCCGCCGCCGCTGTCGCCGCCGCCATCATGGAGAGCCTCAACATCGCTGTCATTGGCGCATCCGGCGTCGGCAAGTCGTCCTTCGTCCAACGAGTCCTCGGTCTGTCGCGCCCTCCCATAACAAACGCCTCCAGCGTGCGCATGGTCGTCGACAACGTCACCTACGGCGTAACCCTGATCGAGCTCGACCTCGAATACTTCGAATTGAATCCTCTGCAGCCTATCCAGTGGCCCAAGCAGATTAACGGCCACATTGTACCTCGCGTAGACGGTGCATTGATTATTTACGATGTTATGAACAAGGAGAGCATGAAAGAGTTGCCACAGGCCACAGGTGAGCGATAATCTTGTTGGTTCTCCGTCTGACGCGTCGCGCCTTGCTGACGAGACCGCAAGCCGCCCTGACGAAATCCGGTCTCCCCGCGGTCCTCGTCGCCAACAAGTGCGATCACCCCGAGAGCGAACGACAAATTGACGCCGCCCGTGTCGCCAACCACGAATATTTCAAGTCCTGCGTCGGCCAGTTCAATCTGTCGACGAGTAGTCCCGAACGGGCGCGAGCCTGCCTGAATGCCATGCTGAAAGCCGCTATCGCTTATCGCAAGGGTACGTGAACACGAGTTCCAACTGCATAAGCCAATGCATGCTGATGAACCGTCAGAAACGCAAGCGTCGGAAGGGGGCTTGTCCCGCCGTCGTGCAGCCTCGGCAGCCAATCTCGAGGCCCACGACAGCTCCAACGGCCGCCCGCTAAGTCAGCACAGCAAACATAGCCGAGCGAGCTCTGATTTGTCGCTCCTTCGAGGTGTCCCCCCTCCCATCCCCGACCACCTACGCGGCCCACCAGCTCCAGGTAGTCCCCGACTGGCCAACTTCAGCGCGCCATCAACTTCAACTTTTGGAACAGAGACCATCGAAGAAGAAACACAACAACAAACCGTATCGAGCCAGCTGCGGACCCCGGGCATCCGCCTCGATCGCGGGCCAACCGACTCATTCCTCGACATGGAGGAATCAGACGCCGAGTCCTTCAGGTATTCGGAGGACATCCCGATCCTGCAGCGGAGCGAAGAAACTTTCCTCGAAAAGCCCAAGCCAACGGGTGTGGCGTTTGACGAATTGGTTGACCGCCTCATCGCCCCACGCATGACCAAAGCAGATAACAACTTCTCGGATGTATTCCTCTGTCTGTATCGAAAATTCGCCGCACCAGGCGAGCTCTTCTCAGCCATCCTCACGCGACTCGATCGCGTCCGGGACGACAAGTCAGCACACTATCTGTCAAAGACAGCCACCCAACTCAGGATCATTGAAGTAGTTGCCAAGTGGGTGTCATTGTATCCCGGCGACTTTGCGCGGCCAGGAACGAGACGGAATTTGGAGGAGTTTATCAAGCACCTGTCCACTGAGCCAATCTTTTCCATCGCTGCGCAGCAGATCAAGCGCCATCTTGAATTCAGCGTTGTGGAAGACGACGACACGGGCTGGGCGAAATCAGATGAATTGGCGGACCAAGAGGGCAGCAAAGTCTTGTCCAAGGACAAGACGCGCTCAACATCAGATTTGTCCAATGGGATGATCACACTCACTGTTGACGATGCGATCGATGAGAGGCCATCCAACAGCTCTGATCTGTCACACGTGGACAGGACGAGTAGCGTTGGTACACACGTCTCCTTCCATTCTTATGATGAGTACGAAAGGGAGGCTGCCAACATGGAGCCGACAGATGTTTTGCCCATGAACAAGTTCCGCTACCACATCTTCATGGACATTACAGACGATGACATTGCTGATGAGATGACACGTATCGATTGGGTCATGTTTTCGTCTATTCGTATAAGAGACTTCGTACGGCACGTCAGCCTCTCATTGGAACTTCGATCCAAGTGCAAGAGTCTCAAGAACGTAAACCGCATGATCAATCATTTCAATCATGTGGCGAAGTGGGTGGCCAACCTCATCCTGCTCCGGGACAAGGCGAAGCATCGCGCCCAGATGCTGGAGAAGTTCATGAACATTGCGCAGAAGCTTCGGCGACTGAACAATTACAACGGGCTGGCAGCTGTGCTTGCCGGCATTAACGGCACTGCAGTTCACCGGTTGGCGCAGACATGGGCGCTGGTGCCACCGGAGGCGCAAAAGTCGTTTGCCAAATTGGGCATTCTTATGGGCACCCAAAAAAGTCACTTTGCATATCGACTGGCATGGGAAAACTCTCCGTTGCCCCGGATACCATACATACCACTCCATCGGAGAGACTTGGTTTCGGCCGAAGAGGGAAGTAAGACATTCGTGGGGCCCGACGGCGACAGAGTAAATTGGAAGAAGTTCGAGGTGCTCGGCGAAGTGCTCCTCCCTCTTATGAAGAGTCAAGGGACCGCCTATCCGAATCTCACAAAGCACGAGGCGGCTCGAGAACTTATTTTGGACTGCAGGATGCCAACAGATGAAGAGGTAAGTCTAGGGAAGACAGTCTGAGACAGGCATGTGATGCTAATGGTGGTCCTCCAGGAAATTTACCAGCGGAGTGTGCAGCTCGAGAGCACGGCAGGAGGCGGTGGTGACATCAGCAAGAAGAAGTTCCCCTGGTTCGCCAAATAGAATTTGGCAGTCCGGCGGTGCATATCGATGGAGAGACTCTGTCTAACGAGGCGACAGCAACAGTGGCAAAGACCAGCGATGGCGTGACGCGCGAATGGAGGGGCAGGCCAGAAGCTGGCGTGAGACATGCCGGTGCATGCAGGCGTATATATAAACAAGTCGGGTTCATACGACGTTGCGGGAGGGATTGGTGAATGGCGATTTGGGTCGATTTCCGCGATATAGATATCCTCTTCAGCAATTGACGTCGGGGCCACAGAAGGCCTCGAATTCCTCACGATATCCAGACCATTCCCGACACGGACGTCTTGGCTGATGTGCGGTCCTGGTCCTGGTCCTGGTCCTGGTCTTGGTGGCATACTATCTCGTCTCCGTCGCAGGACAATTCGCCCGTTCGAGAGACGAGAAGGTCCAACATAACGGCGGAAGAAGAACGGCCAAGCACCGGTACGGCGGCAGCTATATCAAAAACAGAGGCTCATCGGCGATCCTCAAGGCCGTCCGTTCGTCCCCTGTCGGTCGGTGCGGTCCAGGCCTGCTCGGGGCCTGCGGCGGCCCAATGCAGTGCGATGTGGTCGGTGAACAGCTTGCCCCGCTAGGTTGGATTCAGGTGCGCTAGAGCTGGTTGACGTCATGCCTCTGAAAGCTCTGATTTTAGCGTTTCAAGGAGAGGGGCAACAAGGGGCAGAAACCGGGAGCCAGCGAGCTGCAAGAGAGAGGACGAAATCACAATGGAGAGCGCATGTTCTGCAGGAATAACTGTCAATACCTAGCTAGGTATGTGATGGGCATGTGGGTATGGGGCAGTGGACAACACACTCAGTTGTGTACCTCTTGATAAGGGCCCCATTCGTTGTTGTTGTTGGGGCGGGGAGACGGCCATTCCACATGGAAAAGAGAATAGCATACTGATGAATGCCCCGCGCTGTCGCCCCCTCAACCTTGAACCTGGGCAGGCCGGGATTGTCACCGTCGCCGTCAACTACAGCGCCCCGTGTGACAGAAGCAGGCACCTGCTTGCCGGTGCTGACACTTTGCGCACAGTCTCTAGAATGGAAGAAAGAGCCAGATAGGTAGCTTCCTCGAGCTAATCTTGCTGTCATTTGGTTGGCCGACCGGCGCTTGAAGCGTACCTAAGGTACCTTACCTTAGGTAGTCAGTTACCTTAGCCCGAGTTCCTTGTTCGGGGCTGAGGTGCCCGGAGTAGAGCTCCCGTTGACGCCCGTCTCCCGACACATTGTTCGTTTCTCTGGCCGCTCATCAGAAAAAAAAGAAGAAGCACACAACACGGCGAAAGCCTCTTTCCGCCAACGTCCCCTCCAACCTCCGCCATTCATCAATCTACATCGCCAGCCCTCCATTGGCCAGCAAGACTAACTTGTCCGACTTTTTCCTAAGCTGACCGCCTGCCGCTGAAGCTATCGTGATACGTGACGTCGCCTACTGAGTCGTTGTGGTGGTATTTGCTAGGGTGTCGGTGTCTGGCTCTTACTAAAGCCAGCTCCTCCCAAGGCCTGCAGCCTCTCGCTCTTTTCGCCGCAGCAACCCACAAGTTTCTTCCCTTCTTCAACTCTCGCAACCCCCTCAAGCTCACCCGCTTGTCGTTGTCGTGACCGGCGTCCTGCCAGCCACTGTACCCAGCTCCTCACGGTGCCAATTCGCCCGCCATGGTTATCCATGACAAACACGAGTTCCTCACCGAGGAGGAGAGGCGCCTGAGGGAAGACCGCCATCGCGAGAAGTACTGGAAGAAATGGGGTCCCTATGTCGCCGAGCGACAATGGGCAACCGGTGAGCCAGCGGTTGTCTCCCAATCATGACAAGAAGCCATCTAACCAGAGTTGTGTCGCAGTGCGAGAGGACTACAGTCCCGACGGAGACGCGTGGAGTCGTGAGGATCTCCCCCCGCCTGCTTGCTCCACGAGCTCCAATTGCAGCCCGCTGACAGACCAACCCCAGACTTTACCCACGACGATGCACGATCCCGAGCTTACAGATGGGGTGAAGACGGAATTGCTGGCGTTTCCGACACCCACGGTTTCCAAAACATCGCATTCGCCTTCTGGAACGAGGAAGAGTAGGTCGGCGTAGAAAATCATATCGATCAGCTCAATTGCTGATGATACGATAGCGATTTTCTCAAGGAGAGGCTCTTTGGTCTCTCTAATCCTCAGGGCAACCATGGCGAGAGCGTCAAGGAAGCTCATTTCCACGTCGATAACACGCCCGTGAGTAACCATTCCAACAATCTTCCAGAATAGGAACAAAGCTAACAACTTCGGCAGACGGTAAGCCCAAAGAAGGATCCAACTGAGATCATTGATGCTTACGAACAGACGTAGCACTCTTACATGAAGTTCCTGTACAAATACCCCCAGAAGAAGTTTCCGTACAAGGATCTCCTTGACGAGAACGCGAAAAGAGGCAAGACAGACAAGGAATACCAGATTATCGACACTGGTGTTTTCGAGGAAGACAGATACTGGGATATTTTTATCGAAACTGCCAAGGCGACCGACGACCCTGAGGAAATTCTGTTCCGTGTGACGGCATGGAACAGAGGTCCCGATCCGGCACCCCTCCACATTATCCCGCACATGTGGTTCCGCAATACCTGGGCCTGGGGCCGCGAGCCCGAGGACAAGAAACCGTCCGTTGAGGCATACGCGGAGAGCATGGTCAAGTCCAAGCATCACAAGCTTGGCGACCGGTATCTTCTCATGTCGCCCTCGCCTGGTGTCGGCTCTAGCGGCGACGACGTCCTTCCCAAGATGATGTTCACAGACAATGACACCAACTATGAACTGTTGTACAAGCAAGAGAACAAGACTCCCTATGTCAAGGATGCATTCCACAGGTACATTGTCGATGGCGAGAAGGAAGCAATCAATCCCGAGCAGAAGGGAACCAAGAGCGCCGCATGGTTCAGTTTCAACGAGGACGGCGGTGTTGGCCCTGGCGAGTGCGCGGTTGTGCGTTTCCGCCTTTCCAAGCGGAATGAGACATATTTCGACGAAGGCGAGTTTGATGACTTGATCGACCTCAGAATCGCCGAAGCCGATGACTTTTACTACCGCCTCAGCCCGTTGCCGATGGCTGACGACCTCCGCAACATCCAGCGTCAGGCGTTCTCTGGCATGATGTGGACCAAACAGCACTACCTGTTCATTTGGGACCAGTGGGCGAATGGGGACCCAACTCAGCCACCGCCGCCGCCAAGCAGGAAGGACATCCGCAATAATCAGTGGAAGCACATGCATTGCGACGATATCTTGTCCATGCCTGATTCTTGGGAATACCCTTTCTTCGCCGCTTGGGACAGTGCCTTCCACTGCATCACGCTCGCCATGCTGGATCCTGACTTTGCAAAGAAACAGTTGGATCTCTTCACTCGCGAGTGGTACTGTCATCCGAACGGTCAACTGCCAGCGTGAGCTGCCTACCATATGCGTTGAAACAAAGACGGTGTTTGCTGACTGGGAACAGATATGAATGGAACTTTGGCGATGTCAACCCCCCCGTCCATGCGTGGGCCACCTTCCGCACGTTCAAAATTGAGCGCAAGCTGTACGGAAGGCAGGATCTGGACTTCCTTGAGCGAGTTTTCCAGAAACTGTTGTTAAACTTCACTTGGTGGGTTAACCGCAAGGATGCCGACGGCAAGAACGTCTTCGAGGGAGGTTTCCTCGGCCTCGACAACATCGGCCTCTTCAACCGATCTGAGCCGTTGCCGACTGGCGGCTCCCTGGAGCAGGCCGACAGTACCGGCTGGATGGCTTTCTACTGTCTCAGCATGCTGAACATTGCCCTTGAGCTTGCCAAGCACAGGCGCACCTACGAGGATATTGCGTCCAAGTTCTTTGAGCACTTCATCTTCATCAGTGACGCCATGACCTTCAGGACTGGCCAGAAGGACGAGAAGTCTCTGTGGAACGACGAGGATGGCTTCTACTACGATGCCATTTCTTGGGGTGGCCCCTGGATTCAGCAGCTCCCTGTCCGATCTTTGGTCGGCCTGATTCCACTCTACGCCACCATGACTCTGGAGCCTGAGCTGATTAACAAGCTGCCCTCGTTCAAGAAGAGAGTGGATTGGTTTATAGAGAACCGCTGTGACTTGGCCGAGAGAAACATGGCCAGTATCGCTAAGCGTGGCGAGGGCAACAGAATCCTGCTGTCTATCGTGAGCAAGGACAGGCTCGAGAAGATTCTCAAGCGCATGCTTGACGAGGATGAATTCTTTTCCGAGCACGGCATTCGGTCTCTTTCCAAGTTCCACGAGAAGAATCCCTTCTCAATGGACGTCAACGGGCAGACCTTCTCCGTCGGATACGTACCAGGCGATTCTGACAGTGGCTTATTCGGAGGCAACAGCAACTGGAGAGGACCCATCTGGCTGTGTGTCAACTTCCTCTTGGTTGAGTCCCTCCAGCGCTTCTATTTGTTCTACGGCCATGAGTTCCAGGTCGAGTGTCCCACAGGCAGCGGCGATTACATGCATCTCGGCCACGTCTCGAGAGAGATCCAGCACCGTCTGCAGCACTTGATGTCTCTCAACGACGACGGTCGTCGCAGCATCAACGCCGGAAACGACTTGCTCGATTTTGACCCTTACTGGAAGGACTACCTCTGGTTCTACGAGTTCTTCGACGGCGACTCCGGCCGTGGTCTCGGTGCCACCCACCAGTGCGGTTGGACTGGCCTGATGGCCAAAATCATTCACGACACTGGGTAAGCTTCCTAGTTTTGATGCGTGTTCTTTTCTTCTTGTATGTGTGCTAACAACGATCACAGTATCACCTGCCGCCTTCCACAGACTCCCCGCACTCCTTCTGCTGGCATGTCGCACTACTTCGACGATATCCTCACTCGCTCGATCAAGCGCCGCGACTCTACCGCCCCAGGCACCCCGGGACCTAACGGCAAGCCACGCATGCGCAGATCTTCTACCGCACGCTCCATCGGCGCACGTAGCGACTTCGACTCCGAGATGAACGGACAGGACGGCGGCGACGATTCGCTCGGCAACTCGGTCACTTTGGAGGATCCGGACAAGCTGCGCGAGAGGATGAGGGAGCGCTCGGAGGCAGACGCGCACATGCATCGCTACATCTCAGATCAGCTCCAGCGCTACAAGGATGACAAGGAGGATAAGGAGTATGTCAACGGCGGCGACGAGTACGAGACCAGAGCCTAAGAGATTTATGTGACTTGTAAGTATCGTCCTGTCTGGTTAGTATAATCGTCATTCGATGCTTGTCCGAGTGTGAGAGAGCGAGAGAATGGCTTGAAATGTAATGGCGACCAAGGTACCGGGCGAGAAAACATGTATGTGAGAGAGCGTGGGAGGGGGGCTTCAGAAGAATAGAGATTGCATGCGGGAAACTTTCCTTGGTTACGAATCCGAATATTACTGCCATCAGTGCATATAGAGCCACAGACAGAACTGTTAGAATGTGGAACAGATAGATTTCAATTATTTCAGGCTTCTGATAAGTACACGGAGAGTCCAGCTCATCTACTTTGTTTGTCGCCCAGACCTGGCTCGTCTCAGCATGGTCCTTTGCGCGTGAATCACTCAAGTAGCCAGCCTCTCTGCCTTCCCAATTCAAGAATGTTCTCTCACCCGCCTGCCTGCCTGCCTGCCTTACCTCCCCTCAACGCATGAACCCCTCTCCCACTCCTTCCATTTTACCCAACCTGTTGCCTCGTCACCGTCAACCAGGCCTGATGAAGGGCCAAGTAGCCCAGAGGTATAACGCTGAGAGTCGTTAGTTTGAACTTGGTATGAAATCCGATTGCTGGTTTCGTAGGGTCTGCGGTTCGAGCCCGCACCTGAGCTTTTGTCCTTTAAGTTGCTCGAGCTCTTCTCACCACCCTTTCTAGGCCCCCTTTCCGCCCTCTGGCTGATTCCATACGTTCATTACTAGGCTCTCTGTATCCAAAGGCGACTTTACCCCAGCGGGACAAGGCTCGGCCCGCAACATGCGCAGCATCTTGAACCAACTCGTAGTCGGGCTTGATCAAAAGCGGGCATTTTTCTTTTGTGACGACCAAACGAGAATACCACATGTGCCCTCGGCCTTTGATGACTCCTTGTCTGAACGAAAGTGTGGTTTTAAATGAGAATTGACAAACCAGGGTCATTGGAACTGTGTCCAAGGGGCCAAGTCGAGGAACGCCCCAATGTTGTTGAACGCCACTATTGCTCATCATGCAACGCCATCGTGTCAGCCTGCGAGAACGCTTATGTAGTCCTTATCGGTAGACAGCAGCGGGTTCGTAGTGCATGGGTGTCACTGGCGTCATTCACCAGCTACTCACGCTACCTACACAAACACGACGTCTACTCGCTTGACTCGCAGTCTAGATCATATCACCAAGATCAGAGTACCGTGAATGCTTCTATTGTAGACTATGCACAGCTCGTCTCATGGCCTGGAATAGGATCCCTCCCATCTCTCTCTCACCCAGTCGAGGCCGAAGGACCCAACGACAGTTTCTAGAGAAAGATGACGTCTTTTCAGAAGAAACATTTCCCGTTTCCCCCCTTTCACAAGCCACCTCCCACCCCATGGCCAAAGTTTACAAGAAACACACACACAAAGAGAAATCAGTTCGGCGGGGAGGTGTGGGAAGGGGATTAGATGAGTCATGGAGATATGCTAGTCGGTTGCTTCATCTTTTACTCTTCTCTTCTCTCATAAAAAAGGGAGGGGCTTGATGGTTTTGTTATGGTAAGAACTGTTTTACAAAGTGTCGGTAAGGAGCTTGTTGAGCTTGGCGATCTTGGAGGAGACGCTAAGGTCAATGGTACGGTCGCCGACCTCAACGATGAGGCCACCGACGATCTCGGGGTTGACCTGGATATTGTGTCAGTCCATGTTGCGCTGTAGAGCGCAGAGCTTCGCCCGGTCCGAGGTGATCTCGGGGACTCGGCCGAGGTGAAGTGACGTACCTGGTTGGTGACCTTGAGCTTCTTGCCCTGGCCGACGTAGGAGGACTTGGTGATGGCAGACTCCAGTCTGTTGAGAGTCTTGTTGTCGAGTTGCTGCAATGATGTCAGTCGCAATTTTCGTGTAAGTCATCATCCGCTCTGAAATCTGCTTGTTGAGAACCGCACATATGCGCGGTATTTCTGTTCGTCGAGAAAGTTCCGCCGCCAGACCCTCAATCAAGCTTCGTCTTCTTGATTCACTGAATGCTCATGCCCTCCTCAAAGCAGAAAAACACGATGCAACATTCCCTCAGCATAGTGTGAGACGTACCGTAGCGCTGGTGACAATAAGCTCAACCTCACCACGAGCAGCGCTCATGATCTCGCCGAACTTCTGGCAGACACCGGGGAGGAGGCCGAGGCGGTTGTTCTCGGCGAGGGCGGCAAGGAAGTTCTTGACGGTCTCCTGGGAGCCGGCGCCGGCCTGCTTGGTGAGCTCGGCGACGATGGCGGTCTTGTCCTCGGCGCTCAGGGTAGGCGCGGCCAGGATGGTGGACAGCTTGGCATCCTTGCTGACGAGGGCCTCGAGGCTGGACAGAGCCTTGGCCGTGGGGTCGAGGGCGGAGGTCTTGACAGCGGCGGTGTACTGTGGTAAGTGAACGCAGTTAGCGATTGTGTCGCTCGATTGTTATCCAACTTTTTTTTTATCCCTCCATTTCGCTTCCTTCATCGGAGGGGACCCCTCGATGTTTCGAGCTGCTTCAATTGAATGACAGAACCCAATTGAGCCCGGGAAAACATGACAGCAGGATATTCGTACCAGGGCAGTGGCGTAGGTGCCATCGAGGCCAAAGACGGCGACGGGGGGCTTGACGTTCTCGGTGGCAGCAGCGGCAGCGGCGTAGGTTCGGACGGCCGGGACACGGGGAGCAACGAGGCGCGACGCGGGAGCCGCCGCACGAACTGCGCGGGTAGCCGATCTCGAGAACATGGTGAACGGTCGGGTGGGAGTGTTCGTTTGATGGGAGTCGGACGGGGGGGCGTCGAGGCGGGGAGGGAGGGATGCTGCTGATTTGAGGAGCAGTGGTGGTTGCTGTCGGTTTTCGAGGTTGAGGTTTGAACTTCGGCAATTTGGGATGTTGATGCCTTGGGGCTGGCGCTGTATCGTGCGCTGTTTCTGTGAGGCATCAACTTAGGTAAGCTGGATCTCCACACTAGGGTGGTCGGGTCGGTGGAAATCGGAGCTGGAATTCCACTACGTGCTGTGTCCCGTCATTACGTTACAGGCACCGGCCAACCAACAGCACGGAGCCTAAACAGACGCAAGCCCCACACCAATTGAGTTCCCTGTAAGCGATGATACGAATTGAGATGAACCATGAGTCCTTGGCGACACATTCGCCCGTGGCCAAAAGCGCGAAAACAGAGTTGGTCATGTCTGATGCTCGAATTCTCAAACCCATAGCCGGGTCGTCCGTAACCCTGTGTGTAGTCTACAGTAATATCACATATGTCGCTACGACGCCCCGTCTCGGGGCGCTGCAACGGTCTCAAAGCCCAACGCGCCCAGTCATTAGCACTTCCCTCATTGCAAGCCAGCCCGCGTCCCTGTTTATCCCCAACGCCTAGACAATGCAGTTTACTCATCGGCGCAAACATCGTCATTACTGCGCTCAATCGCTCTCAATCATCTTTTCGGCAAGGTCGTTCAAAGGCCCGTAAAAATCCTTGCCGCTCGCGAGCTTGTGCTCGTCGACAAACAGCACGTACTGCTTGAAGCTCGTGTTGAGATGGGGCTCAAGACCGAGCTCTCTGATGATGCTGTAGTGGTGGCAGTAGACGTGGGCGTAGACTCGGTACATGCGCTTGAAGATTTGTCGAACGTGCGACGGGAAGTTCTTGGGGAAGGGAACGCCTGAGCCTTGCTGTCAATACCACGTCCTCGCATGCAGGGGGGAGTATACGTACCAATCCTACTCGGCATCATCGTCTCGTTGTCTATGGTGCTTTGCACCCAGGTCATGAGGTGCTCAATGTAGTCTGGGGCTGACATGTGGGTTGGTTTCTTATACTGGTCACTATCCTGCCACAGATACTCGAATTCGTCCGTTGCCTTCATCTCGGGGCACGACTTGGGTGAGCAAAACTCGGTGATGGCGCCGTAGAGGAGATTGATCTGGTTGTAAAAGTCGACCACTATGCATTGCAAACGTCAGCCAGAACGGTACGCCGCTGCTGTCTTTCAACGCCTGGGATGCCTTACTGTTTACCGCCAACCACTCGTTCTCGTCCTCGCCCTCCGGCAGCTTCACGACCTTCCTCAGACTTCCTCCTCCCAGGGTCGCTTCGGCATACTGTCGCAGCGCAACACCATTGTTGCCTCCCTTGACGGTGCGCGCACGGAACTGGTTCCTACCGGCCTTACTGTTCCCGTCGCAGTCGTCGTCAGCGCTTGTCTCAATAACTTCGGGTTCATACGTCTTGATGACGGTCACGTCGCGAGTGACAGCATTGCTGCGCAGAGGGTCTGGTGCCGCTGGCGGGGGCGAAGGCATCGGCAGCGATGGAATGCCTCCCGCCAGCAGCCCAGTCCTCACGCTGAGGTACTGCAAAAGGGACATCATCGGGGCCGCTATTGTGGTGGTACTGACACTGTCATTCCCGGCACCGCGCTCATGTTTGCGGCTTGTCGAGAAGCGCTTTAGAATTCGGATGCGTTTTAATACTGTCGTCGTTTCGTTTGGGATCCTGCATTCCATTCCAACGGTTAGCGGGGTAATGGAACAGATAGAATCCACAAGATGTACGCCGAGATGTTGTTTGGAGCATGCCTACCTGCTGACGTCGGCGGACTTATGTGGTGGATGTAGGAGTCCGGTCGGTGGGAAAATGTAATGTTGGGGCTGAGGGTCAACCTGGGATCGCAAAGGTTGCAGGTTGAGCAAGAGATGCGGTGCAGGTTGTTGTTTTGGGATATCAGTAAGGTGCTGGTCAAAGGGTCCTTCCTCCCTATTGTGTTGGTGGTGTTTATGCGCTTGCCCAATCGGTGTGGTTGCTGGGCTGCAAGGGCCGGCTTTATGGGTGCTTCAGCCACATTGCCCCTTGTCTCTGTGGCTAGAGCGCGGGGTCATCTCCGTTGCTATTCCGCAATGACGGGCAGCCGGACGCGGTCCCATCTACGGAGTACTTCGCAGCTGTAAGACCCATTTTACCAAACCCAAACGTTCGGAAGCCGATCCGTCTCTCGTGTCGAGCCATGCTTTACGGCGTCACTCCGGTCGAAAATCCAAAGCTTTGCAGACCGGGTCCTTACTCGTGTCTATCCATGTAAATCCATCACGCTCAGCCCCCTATTGAGTTCTACCGGCCGCTCATTTGAATAGCCTCAATACAAAGTGGGGAACAAGTCATCCCCGCACTCTCTGTTCCTGTTTCCCCTCTTTATCCCTTCCTCTGGGTCCACGTAATGCCGGTCTGTTTTGCAACTACACTTGGGTGTCTTCGGTTGAGAAATGCCCGAGATTGTTCATTTTACGAAGGAAGCTCCAGACAGAGGCTAGAAATGCTCGTGACCCCAACCTTTAGTCGTCATGGGTTGGGTGTCGATCTCCCAGGGTTCTGGTCGTGACAGGCCTTCCCCGCGCAGACGGAAATCCGGAGACGACGATGCGAGTTAGTTTACAAATAGTCATCAGACCCGTTCTTGTATCTTATAGATCTCTAGCTCTCAACAAGTTTTGGAAGCTGTACTTGGAAGTTCTGGGAGTTGTCTGTCGCCATGCGTGCCTTAGACATCGTGCCACTACTATGTACCCTGGTTGAGGCCAGGATAGACCGGCAGAGGGTCGTTCAGGCTTTCAATCCTCGCCGTACTGCCAGCTCTCCTGAGACGCCGCTGCAGGTAGGCAATGGCAACTTTGCATTCGGGGCCGACATCACTGGTCTCCAAACCTTCAGTCCCTTCGCGACTATGTCAACGTGGGGATGGCACAACTTCAGCTTGCCCACAGCTCCGGGTCAGACGTCGATCGATGGTTCGTTCGCTGAAGATATTGACCTCTAGAAACCAGACACTGATTACCTTCGCAGACTACCATGGCACTGAGTGGTGGACCCATGGCCGGCTCGTCCAGTACAACATGGCCAACCCGACAAACAGTGAGATTGCCGACTGGCTCCGCGAGAACCCTCATCGAATCAACCTTGGCACAATCGGCTTCTCTTTCAACGGCGGGAACATCACCACGGTCACGGAGAGCATGCTGGGCGACAAGGAACAGACCCTCGATATGTGGTCGGGTGTTATTCACTCGAGTTTCACACACAAGAACGCTTCTGTCAAGGTCGAAACCTGGGCCGATCCTAACTCTGACACCGTCGCTGTGGCCGTTGAATCAAAGCTTCTGTCATCCGGGGATTTGGCCATCTTTTTCGACTTTCCCTATCCGACGAACGACAAGTTTGGGGCGCCCTTCGTAGGTGCATTCAACTTGACTGACCAACACACGACCACTCTCGGGGAATGTGAAAAGAGCTATGCTACGATTCACCATAACCTGGCCACCGCAGAATACGACCTGCGTCTTGGATGGGACAGCGGCAGAGGTGATGGAAAGTTGGCATCACCAACCGACGGGAGCCATCGGTATGTCTTGTCCGCAAGTGGCACTGACAAGCTCCGCTTCACGGCGAACTTCGCACCTTCCAAGCTAGCAAGCCAACCCAGCTTCGACGAGATTGCGAAAGCGTCCCAAACTTGGTGGCCGACATACTGGTCTAGTGGCGCCTTCATCGACATGACCGCCACCGCAAACGCAAACGCAACCGAGCTCCAGAGGCGGACGATCCAGTCCCAGTATCTGGTAGCTGTGAACTCGGCATCGAACTACCCTCCGCAGGAATCTGGCCTCGTTAATAACGGCTGGTTCGGCAAGTTTCACGTGGAGATGGTCCTCTGGCATAACCTCCAGTTCGCCCGTTGGAACCACTTCCCTCTTCTATCCCGCTCTCTGCCCCGAACCTATACACGTCTCCTCCCTTCCTCGGTCTCCCGCGCCTTGACGCAAGGGTATGCTGGTGCCCGCTGGGGCAAGATGACAGACCCCTCGACTATCGATGCCCCGGGTGAGATCAACACCCTCCTCATCTGGCAGCAGCCTCACCCAATGTACTTCGCCGAGATGGAGTACCGCCACGCGCCAACCATGGAGACCCTGGAGAAGTGGAACGAGATCTTGACAGCAACGGCCGACTTCATGGCATCCTTTGCCTTCTTCAACGAGTCGACTGGAGTGTATGACCTGGGGCCGCCAATGTACCCCGTCTCGGAGAACACAAATCCAAATGCCACCGTTAACCCGACGTTCGAGCTGGCATACTGGCGCTTCGGGCTCGATATCGCGTTATCCTGGAAATCTCGTCTTGGGGAGCAGGCCCCTAGCACTTGGGAAACTGTCAGAGACAAGTTAGCACCACTACCCATTGTTGATGACACATACCCCGTCTACGAAGGCATTCAGGGAATGTGGACCAACATATCCACTGTACAAGACCACCCAGCAATGTCGGGTATCTTCGGCCTCCTCCCACCACCAAGATCAGGCCCTGCTTTGAACCGGACCACTCTGGAAAACACAGCCGCCAAGATCTGGGATCTTTGGGATCTCGACGAGTCTTTCGGCTGGGATTTCCCCATGCTTGCGATGAACAGCCTGCGGTTGGGTGACTCGCAACGAGCGGCTGAGTATCTTTTGCACTCGACTTTCCAATTCGACGATGCGGGTTACCCCGTCGGAGGGACTAGAGTGCCCACGCCGTATTTCCCCAGCTCAAGCAGTTTGCTCTTAGCAATGGCTATGATGGCGGGCGGCTGGGACGATGCTGAAGGCCCACACTTTCCGGAAAGTTGGAATGTTGTCGTAGAAGATTTCGTGCCGGGTTTGTAGATTAATCAGGATGGTTAGCCTAGAGATTTTTAAAGTTAGACATCCTCTCTAGTTGAACTCTCCACCAAGTCTGCATGACCAACTCGTCTCTTCTACAGTCCCTTTCAGCGTGGGTAAGCTTAGATGCAATGTCAAAGTCGACCAAAGCTATTGCACGGGACAATCCACTCATTGATAAAACACTGGCTGGAATCCGAAATGTTTGATTTCCCTATGCTGGCGTCCGTCATAACAACCAGACCCAGGATGGCGAGCATTTCACAATATTCTGCTCCCCATCCAACCAGCCGTTTGCTGCGGCGTCGAACGACAAATATGAAGGGGTGCCGGTACGCCGTATCCTGGCGCTCATCCCACCAGCACCTGAAACTCCGCCTTTCCATCCTCTCGTCTTTCAAGTTGATATTCACTTCCTGATGCGCATTCAGGCGTTTTGCCATTTGATCTTCCAAGGGCTGCAGAGTAAAAGAAGCTCCGGTGCGGTAGAGCAGAGCTTAGAGCAGAATTTCGCCCATATTCTCGCCTTCGAAGCCTAGCTTGCTCAACTTCTTGATGCGACTCTTGTCACGCGCCTTGTCTTGCTCCTTCTTCTCAGCGGCCAGCTTGTGCACCAGCTTAAGGTCAGCCGGCTCGTAGCCCGGGGGTGGGTCGTCGTCCTTGTCAAGGTCGATCTCGCCCAGCAGGAGCACATTCTCGCCGCGAACGAGGAAGATGCCTCTCTTTATGTCGGCAAAGAGCCCCGAGGGGCGGGGTGGGTTCGCCTCCGGATCAGGGTGGGCAAAGACACGTTCGATGGTGTCTTGAAGGACGAGGTTTGCTGGTGACGCGGAGAGTGTCAGTCATTGCGTCTATGCCACGCATCTGTATGCGATGCACATACCGAACTGATCCCAGCTGCGAAGGACACCGATCAGTTTGCGACCGTCACGGAGGGCGACCATAAGCTTTTCTACATTCTGGCGTTAGCCAGCTACGTCAATTGCGCCTGCCTCAAGTCAAGCAGGCAACGGCAGTCGCGTGTTTTGCCTTACTGTCAGTAAGATCCAGCAACTGGGCGGCGGTGGTGAACATCTGCGGCGGAAGTTGAGTCTGTTGGGGAGGAGGCGGCGCGCGGCCGCCGAGAGCGGATTGGCCCCCCTGTGCAGGAGCGTCGGAGATTGTGAGGTTTTCCATGATTTTTTTCCCCTCGTTATCTGGTTGGCATTGGTATTTGAGAATTATTGCATTCGGACCAGTCCCAGTCCATCGATTATGGGCCAGGGGAGAAAATGCGAAAAGAACAAGCAAGAGCTTATGCGAGGGCGCCAAAAAGCATCATCGAGGTGGGAGCGTGCGTGTCGGTCTTGTCTAGTTCGATGGCAGTAGCCTTGCGATTCTGCCCCGTTTCGCTGCTGAGATACGGGCTGGATGGAGTGTGGTGGGTAGGTAGTGTGGTGTTCGATCAAGCCATCATCATCGTGGGTCCACCCTGGTCACCTCAGCTCTTGTGGGCGACGGCGTTGGCAGGCGGTGCTTCAATGAGGTTGAGGTGGGTCCAGTCCCAGCCGTCGTCGGAGGGATTGTTTTTGCGGCATCCGAAAAGAAAACCCGACTGCCCTGAATGGATCCCGCCTGGACGGCAGCTGACACTTTTGGGCGCAAACCCCGGCTGGAACTCCGAGCACGGATCGTCGGGT